TATATATATATATATATATATATATATATATATTCCCCTTAATTCTATTTTGGAAGTGTTGTAATGCTATGATTTCACAGTTACTGTATTTTTAAAGTTCATTCTCCTTGACAAAAGCCACCACAAAACTATAAGAATAAAAATAACAAAGCTTAGCTTCTTTTTAAAAAGAGAAAATAAGAATGGATAGAAAAATATGAAAGATCAGAATCTGCCCCACATTAATGCAGCAGGGAAGAATAGTTTAAGAAGGTCGAGGGACAGGGCACATTACCTCATGTGTGGGGAAGAGAGGGGAATGAATTAAGGCCACAACAAAACGAAACTGAGAAATTGCTAAATGAAGCTCTGAGTGGGGAAAATGAAAAATCAATGAAGGAATGGAGGAAAAAAGGTACATTTTTCATCTTCATGATGCTTGATTTGGTTTGTGGAAATTCATTTTCAATTAATGCGTCTTGTGGCATTCAGCCAGGCTAGATAGGAACAAGGCTCACATTTTAATCAATTTTTTCTATTAAGCTTGAAGTAATATATAATAATAGAATGGCATTATTCAAAAGGATCGGTTGAAACTGGCTTCTGAGGTAAAATCTAATTTGGTTTGATTTCTACCTTATATTAAAGGGAACCCAACTGTTCTTTAAAGCAAGGAATAGCAAGTGCTCTGGTTCTCCAGGGTCCCTAAAAATGACTTGGCTATAAAAACGTCAGGGAGGGATGGATAAAGTGGACTCCCTGAGTGCATTCACTAGAAGCGAAGGAGAAAAAAGGAAGAAAGAGAGGGAGGGAGGGAAGAAGGAAGGAAAGGAGGGAGGAGAGAGGGCTGAGTTAGCTCTTGATGCTCAGAAACAGCCTGAAGTGGTCACCCCCACTTGACCACTTCACCCCCACTTGTCACCCCTTTGCCCCTCGACAGCCGCCTGAACATGGGCCAGGCTGAGACCTGGCCCAAGTCAGTCCCTTCCTCCCTGAGGCCAGGCCTTCGCTCACACCCTCCTGCTATTCTAAGATGCCTGTGCTTCCCTGACAGGACTCCAGAACCCTGTAGTACTGCACTGGAAGTGAGGAGGAGTGGAGCCGGAAGTGAGCAGCGAGGCCAGAAGGAGTGAGATGGAAGTGAAGAGCAAGGCCAGGCTGGGAGGAAGGCTGGCGCATGACCCTTTCTGCAAAAGATGTGCAGGGGCTCTGATTCCCCCCGCTGTTTTTTTCTCCATGACTTATGAGGCAGGTGGAAAGGAGAAGTAAGGATGGAGCAGATTTACTCCTGTGCTTTCCTCCACAGACACATCTTCAAAGATACCATGCCAGGCGCTGAACAGTCCTACTAGGGAGAGAACTGTTCACAACTGCATGAAGCTGGTGATTTTTAAAAGTGGTATTTTCAAAAATGTTCCCAAAGCTCAAGTGCCCTAAATATTAACCCTCTTCTTCCTGCTTGCATAGGACCCATGCCAGAGGAGACACTTGGGGCTCAGATCTGATTGGCCATGTGGAGCCACTAAGGAATTATTAGCACAGTAATTTTCTTGGTGTGGCGTTCCACCCACCACAATTGTTTTCTACCTACATTTCCAACATCTTCATTTACCTACCATTCCCTCCTACAGTCCTAACTAGATTAATGCTCCCTGAACTCACATGTTCTAGTCTCCATGTCTTTGTTTTTATTTATTCTATATCTTATCTAGTATGACCTTTCCACTCATTCAATCCCTGCCTAGAAAAATCCAACCCATCCTGCAAGACCCTGGGAAACCCTTCTCCTCCCTAAAGACTCTCCACCCACACCAGAATCAGTTCATACTCATAGGCACTGTTTTAACAGGCACTTGGCACATATGCAATCAGTAGGTCTTACATCCACCTCTGGGGAGGGACTACTGTGAGCATTCTCATGTTATTGGTAAGGAATCAGAATCTTGGAGAAGAAATGTGATTTGCTCACGATACAAAGGCAGGACCAGAGGCAGGATGCAAAGAAGGATTTCATTCATTCGGAGCCTATGAACTGAGTCACAAAGGGTCATCACTGATCACATTCTGCCTTGAGTTCTGATGAGTTTAAATGTCAGCCAGAAAGTCCTGAGAGGAGGAAGTAGTGTTCCACAAAAGGCATTTCTTAAATGTTTCCTGTGTCAGCAGAGATGAGTTTCCCATACATTGTACCTGGCTCCTATACACATACTCCCTAACTCACAAGGACTGCACAGGGGCAAGGGGTCAGGAACAGTCAAAGAAACTGTTACCAGGTTTTGGGGCACTAGAGTCTCCTTTCAGAGGTGGTTCAGAGATTCTTTCAGTCATGAGCAAAGAATTGGTCGAGACAAGCCCAAATGGTAGTGAGATTTTATATTTATTAAGGCAGAAAAAGAAAGAGCTCTGCTAAGCGAGTTTGGGCCAAGTAAAAGTAGGAAAAGAAGTATGCTCTGCAGCATGAGAGTGGAGTACTGTGAAAGAATGCAGTAGCCAAGAGCTCAACTGTGGCTGTCCTTTTGTATCTCCCACTCCTCAGGCTGATGTCAGGTCTAGACTGTCCTATCCAAAACTGCTGGAGTTCTCACAAGATGTCTATGTTGCAAGGCTTTGGGAAGTGTTCTGTGCATGTGTCCTGGAACTGTGCAATTAACAGGCCACTTCTACTTCCCCAGCCAGTCTGCCATGCCCTAATCTCCTGCCTCAACATGGCAAAGGGGAAATAACACCAGGTTGGCAAAGATGACACGAAAAAATTAGCAGGCAATGATATTGGAGAAACAAGGTTTCCATGACACTCCCCCCCTTCAAAGGAGCCCTACTCATACAATATACACAAAAATAAATTCCACATGGATTATTCTTTATTTATCCAAAACTATTTATTGAGCATCTACTATATACCAGTGAAAATTCCAGGTGTTAAGAGATACAGTCATAAACAGACAAAAGTTCCTGCCTCCTAGAGCTTACATTCTAGTGGAGGGGAAGAGACAACAAATAACATAAACAGGCAAAAAGGACAAATAAGTGCTAAGCAGAGAAAAGTTAAGGGAAGAACAGAGAGTGGACATGTAGGTGGTAACTAAAGACCTAAAGATGAAAAACAAAACTAAAACTATCACAGAAAATACGTTTATGACAAATAAGACACACAACGCAGCACAGAAACATTGATAACTGTTAACGCTACTAAAATTTAAAAATTATGTAAGATAAACCACAAACAAACAAACACCACTGAGGAGACAATAATGTCAGCCAAATATTTTTTGATGATTATATGAATACAGAGTTGGTACAAATCAGCAGAAGGAAAGACAAACAACCTCACATAAAAATGAACAAAGAATACGAACACAAATTCATAAAGGAGGACACCTGAGTGTCCAATGACTTTATGAAAGTCATTCGTTCTCACAACTTGTAATGAGTAGTGACCAGGCTGACGCAAATTAAAATTAAAAGAGTGAAATGCGATTTCATAACTGACTGAAATTATAGTCCACACGGGGCCACGTGGTGATGAGTGTCTGGAAACCTCTGCTGTATAAAGAGCGACTGCGGCAGTGGCCTGCTCTGGAGAGCCACGGCAGTGCCCGGTGACGCTGACACTGCGTCACTCCGCCCCCTGGCGGCACCCCTTCTAAGTGTGCTTCCTAGTGAAAGACTTGCTGGAGACATGTTTCCCTGTTTGTGGGAGAATAAAACTTTGAAAATTAACTAAATGTGTATCAATAGGACTACAGATTACAATATTTCCAAGTAAAAGTATATTAGCTACTGAAATGAAAAATTTAGATCTGTATGTAATAATATTAAACTAGGAAAAAAGGTAAATTGCAAAATATCGACAATGCTACTTGTTATCTAAATTATAAATTAAAATTTATGTAAATTTTTAAACACACACTAAGCTATATACTAATCTCTGTGGTAGAAGCATGAGGTAGAAGAAGGAGAGGAGCAGAACTGGGCAGGAATAAAATAGAACAGCCTCATCTTTAACCTGTAATATTTTCTTTTATTTACAGAAAGCAGAGAAGGGCACAAGGGGTTGTGTTTTCATTATTTATAGGGAATAATGAAATATAATTTTCTGCACTTTAATTTCCTTTCATATTTAAAAAATAAGAAGAAAAGGACAAAGCCTGGCTTTGAACTCAAAGATCTGTGTGTGAACCCAGAACCATGATTATTTGCTGAGATACTGCCGGCTACTTATTTATTTATTTATTTTTTTGTACTGGGGATTGAACCCGGGTCCTTCCACTTTGGAGGCAGGTGGGGGAACCACTGAGCTAAATCCCTGGACCCAGGCTACCTATTTTTAATGACTCGAAGCCTCAGTTTCCTGCACTTCAAAAGTGGGCAGATGATGCCTCTGTGAAGGTTAATGTGCATGTATGAGCTCTGTCTCCACAGCCCTGAGAGCAGAGGCCCACTCAGCACTTGGTAAGGCTTTCAACACCAACTGTGCGGCCTCACATACTTTCTAGGGCAGAAACTGGGCACCTGGTCTCTGGAAAAATGCTCAAAGCCAATTAGAAAGCATTTCAACAAAGAGAATGTAGGTTCAGTGACATTTCCCCAAAAGGGTCCTTCTCCTAGAAAGGACAGTTTGGGTGTGAGTGCACCCATCAATCCCTATCATCAATAATTCCTGCAATAATTCTTTCTAGAATGCATAGAGTGGGGAAGGTGGACAGCACTGTGTTCTTTCAGATACCTTCAAAGACTTCATTTTAGGTAAAGAATTTGGGTTTTAAAGAAGTGACTAGCATCATGTTAACCACTAGAAAATGAAAGTAACACTTTCACGTACTATGCACAAATTCTTCCTCACACTTTTGCAGAGCATCTCCTCTGGGGGGCGCTGTGAAGCAAGATGTGGGCTGCAGAGTCAAGGCTGGGGGTCCAGTGACCGCAGGGAGGGAGGAGAGGTGCGGTGGGGAGACTGGTGGGGCAGGACTTGAACACAGAACTCAGGCTTGGCCGGCAGTAGATCTAGTTAACATGTCACAATGTGGCCAGGAAAGAGTTAAACTGAGGCTCACCAGCAAAGGCAGAGCAGAGAAGATGGAGATGGGTCGGTGGAGGAGGGGAGCCAGCCTCAAGATCACCAGAAAGCCTGGGCCGGGGACTGGGGCAGGGAGAAGGCACATGCAGCGCAAGCGCATGGCAGGTAGGAGGCGCTAAGGGCTGTGTAGATGCTCTGGGCTCTTTGCTCACCATCTGCTCCATAAACCCTGGTCTCCAGGACCAGAGGAAACTCCAGGGCGGAAGACAGCACACCACCCCTGCCGACTCACACCAGTGCCCACTCTCTCGGAAGGTCAAGGCATTCGCTAACTTCGTGTTATTCTACTTTTTGAAATACTAACAAATCCATTCCACTAGAACAGATGCCAGAGACATTTCCACCAGAGACTCAAAAAACACCATAGGAGTAAAGCAATCCCCAGAAACAGTGCAGGTCACCAGGCCAGGGTACGATTTAGAGAAGCAATTTCCCAAGCTGATGCCATCTCCCTGCGGAACCCAGCAGAGTGTGTGAGATCTGCATTTAAGCCGAGCACCGTGCCCACAGTAACAGTCCCCTGTGAATGCGGAAGATTACTCATCACTTCCTTTCCTTCCCACTCCCTATTTACTTAGGCTGGGCAGAAGCATCAAAATGAAAGACCAAAGGCAAACCTCAACAGGAAAGGACCCACATACCCACTCTACCATGGACACGTGCGGGAGAGGAGAAGGAGCCATTGTCACAGGGACCCACCCCACCAGCCCCGTACCCTGGCTTGTGGGCCAATGCCACCCTTGACTAGACTGCCGCTCCTGGTGCCTCTCCCAACTCAGTGAATTTCTGAAGAAATACCAGCATGTGTGGCTATGGAGCAAGACCTCTACCAAAACACAGATGCATGGAGTGTGTTTCATGTCAATGTATTTGAGCCAAATACACTTCTCGTCATGAAATCGGTTGAACTGTCCATTCAGTGACAGAAGCAAATCAAACTTCTCCTAAACAAGAAGAACAAGAAGTTGACCAGTGGTGCTGAGATCCATTCAGAAAGGAAAATCTCAGGGCCACCGTGCTCTAAAATACATATAATCAAACCACACGGACACTGGACTGCTTATTCGGGGTGTAGGGTGTGGTTCAGGACAGACCCCTTCCGTCTTGGCACTCATGTCCTTTGTCCTCTGTCACACTATCTTCTAGCAGAAAGGCTTCATTTTCCAGGATCTTGGGCCAGTCTCCACTTAGCACTTTCTGAATTATTTTTAGGCATAATTTTTCAATACAGTTCTTTCTTTGCAATCTAGGAAACCAAGTTTCTAAAGATACAGTGTGGGAGGGGCTGGGGATTTAGCTCAGTGGTTCCAGTGCCTGCTTCACAAGTGCAAGGATCCGAGTTGGATCCCCGGTACCAAAAAACAAAAAAGATACAGTGTGGGTCTTTACGTTCTCTTGACTCAGCATTTTGAGGCTGCCCAAGTCGAGTTACCATATATGGGTGTTTTCACAAAGCAGGGCCCCCAGTGGCCAAATCTTCCTGTTTTGTTCCTCAGTAACACCTCTTCCCGCAGTAGAGTGCACATGCATTCTTCTAATCACGAACACCAAAAGGAACTGCTTCCACCCACTGCGGGCTACCGGGTTATCATCTTCCAAAGAGCCGGAGACTAAATCTGGAGAAGAGCTCGTGCGACATGATCTGGAGACAGTTCAATTGAGGGAATTAGGGCTGAGAATTCGGGGCTCCATGCCTTCTCCCTCCCCCGCATGGCTGTCAACACAGGGCATCTGGCCAAAGGGTACTTTTGTTGGTTGCACATTTCCACACACGAAAGTTTTAAAAATGAACTGTGTGCCAGCAAGCGGAGGAAGCATTCACAATGGGAGATTAGAGGGGGGTTACATTTAAAAATCTCTTTCTCTGTGAATGTTCTACTCAAGAGTCTGATGGTTACAGAGCACAGAAGAGAAACAAAAACAACCCAAAGGTCCCAAGGGAAAAGGGGAGCCCTGTGTATTGGTCAGGACAGCAACTAGCTACTTCTGCTTTTAGTCTCTTTCCTTTAGGCATATATACCAGGAGTCCATCCATTAGTGGTAAGAATAGCAACAGAACCTAGTATTTACTGTGTATTTACTATATTCCAATTAAGATGCTAATGTTTTATATATTATATATCATTGAAGTTCTATCAAAAACACTTATCTGGTGGATACTGTTATTAATCCCATTTTGTAGATAATTAAATGAGTAACTTTCCACAACTAGTGATTGTGAAGTTCATGCTCACAGTTATTCATAGGCCATCTCTCACCAAATGCCCCCAACGGTCTCTACAGGCAGGGATGCGTGCAGACTTGAGGCCTGCAGTGCAGCGAGAAGGAAAGCTTTGTATGCTGGCCAAAGAGCCAGAAGCTCAAAGCCTTGCCTCTCTGAGGAGCTCCTGGTCACCTGTCCCCTGACCCAGTTCATCTCCCAGAGGTACAGTCACTTACGATGATAGCTCTGTCACCCTATTAAGCCAGGGCAGGGCAGACAAGTGCACACACGCCCAGTGAGACGAGGACAAGAGAGCCACCCTCGGTCTGTTAGGGGAGGTCCCTGACTTCCACAGGCTCGGTGTGGGCCGGGCTCTGTCCCACCTCCTCCTCCTTACAGTAACATCTTCCCTCTGTCTGCGTAGCATCTAGGAAGACTCCACAGTCTGGATGCCACCAGGCCAGAGCATCATTAAGGCTGAGCTTTTACAGAATCTCCTGGGGCCCAGTGCCAGGGGCCGGAAAGGACTGAAGGTCCCCTGTGAGGGTCCTCCACAGCCCTGGACTTGGACACGTGTTCCCCTGTCAGTGCTCCTGTTCCTGGGCTGGCCCTGGAGACCTTCTACTCCGAGTCCGCCACAGCTTTCCCTTCGGTGCAGGAGCTTGCAAGGGAGGCGGCTGATTGTACTAACATGAAGCCAGCAAGAGAGCCGGGATTCCCTAACTGAGAATCCTACCACACACTGGACCACTTGTGGTCTTAAAAGCACAACCGCAAAGACCCCTGCACCGTCTGCCTCCTGCTCCTCTGCCAGGCTCAGGAAGATTCCAGTGCACAGCCTGGGTGGAGAGGCACTGATGAGAAAATCAATCCCGTGCACCTTTGCACTTATTAAACATCTCTATTACAAAGAGGGAGGAGCACACTTGGTTTCTGCAGCAGCAGGCGGAAGAAATAATGCCTCCTCAGCTGCTGAAAAGCAACTCCCTCAGAGGCTGTCTCTTGGAAGAAACATTTACCATATCACATGCAGTGATGGGAGATGAGAAGAAAGACACGATGAAATTCAGAGACAACAATAAATTACTACTATCCCGCTGAACAGTATCATTGCCCATTGGCAAAAATGTAAATCCACCCACTGGAGGGCAAGTAATACTTTGCTGTCTCCTCCAGGTCAGTGTCCCCTCGATGGGAAGGCAGCAGGCTGGACCTTGGTGAGAAAAATAAGGAGGCACAAATGGCCCTGTGGACATAAGAAGTCACACATGTGACGCAAGGTGCACTGCTCTGGCCTCAGGATCCCTCCTCCCAGCTCTCTCGGAGCCTTTCCTGGCAACCTGAAAAACGCCAACGTTACTGCCGTATGACAGGAGGAAGCTGTCTTTGACATCTGCCACACTCAAAGGCTGCCTTTGTTCTGGGTCAAGTTTGCCTCTCTCCCTGGGTAGCAGATGTTCACAAATAAAACTATACCTCTAAAGTGTGCTTTCCAAAGTTCACACTGCTCAGTTCAGTAGTCTGGACCCAAGTGATGCCGAGTGCTTTAGCTTTAACTTTGCTAATTTTGCTCATTATGAAAAGCAATGCAGTTATAGCAACAGGCACAGCAAACCAAATGGGAGAGAGTTCTTTACATAAAGTTATCAGGCTTCCTCCGTGTAGTGGCTCAGCTCACAGAACAAAAAGTTTTGGAGGAATTCTAGAAAATATCTAGCTTGACTCCTCCATGAGAAGGAACACACCTGAAACGAAGCCTAAATACCCCTCCAGGGCAGCTAGTATTGTGAATATTTTCTAAATTTTGAGCAAAGAGCTGAACTTTTCTTCTTTGAAAATGCCACCCAGTGGCTCTGGCCTGGCTTTGCATCACAACACAGCACAGAAACATTTTCCCTCTTGTGCAAGATGGTTTTCTACAAGGTAAATTCAGACCTTGTGTCCCGCCTTGGCCACATTCTGCCCAACTCCTCTGCCATTCCTGAGTCACCAGCGACCTCCCCACGGGACCAGCGGTTCCTGTTCTGAATGTGCTCCCTGTCAATGTCCCTTACCCACAGTTGCCATTTTATTTATTTATTCATGTATTTATTTATTTATTTATGTATTTATGTATGTATGTATGTATGTATGTATTTATTTTTTGGTACTGGGGATCAAACTCAGGACCTTCTGCTTTCAAGGCAGGTGGCAGAACCACTGAGCTAAATCCCCAGCCCACATGTGTCATTTTAAAACAATGGACTCCCATAAATGTCTATAACCTCTGAGTTTTTTTTTAAAACCATCCTTTGGTTATAGAAGTCAACACAGAATGCCGGACAGACCTAATAATTTTAACCATATGACTGAGATCATTTAAATTCAAAATAAAAAGTCTCTTTAAATTTTAATCTCCATTCATTGTTAAAACCCAGCCAGCCGCTAGGTGAGCTCAACCTGGGCCTTTCCAGCCAGCACCACCAGAACTCAGAGAAGTCCGGGAGAGCTGAGCTCACACGTAGGAAGCAGAGCGCCCACTTCACCCCTCACACACACACACAGTTGGCCTCCGTATCCATGGGTTCCACACCTGCGAATTTAGTCAACCTCGATCAAAAAGTATTTGCAAAAATTAAAATTGTATCTGTGCTGGATATGTACAGACTATTTTTCTTATTATTGTTCCTTAATTCAGTACACCATTCACATAGTATTGACATTGTATCAGGTATTATAAGCAGTCTAGAGATGATTTAGAGTACATGAGAGAATCTCGTGGGGTAAATGCAAATACTTCACCATCTTACATGAGGGACTTGGGCACCCAAGGATTTGGTATCCCTGGGGGTGGGGGTGGCCCTGGGAGCGACACCTCCAATACCAAGAGACAAAGAGTCAAAGAACTCTGTGTGTGTGTGTGTGTGTGTGTGTGTGTGTTCCCCCACTTCCTTCAAATTGGCATATTCACTATATTCTGGAAGGAGGATACAAAACACAGACTTCTAAATTTCTCTGAAAATGTCTTTTGTTTCTTTATTTTTTGTTTTTCGAGACAGGGTCTTGCTGTATAGCTCAGGTTGGCCTTGAACACATGGTGACCTCCCTGCCTCTGCCCCCCGAGCACTGGGATGGCAGCCATGCACCACCACACCTGGCTAAAAATGTCTTTTAAAAAAGTCTCTACGTCTTGTACCAGAGCCTTAAATCCTTACAGCTAAGGGTTTAATAGAATCAAGAGCCAGTCCATGTGAGGTTCCAGTCAATGGTCCTCTAGCACTAGACATGAGTACAACATACACTTTCCTGCGGAAACGCAGGCCCACAGTGAAGAATCCTATGGGGAAACAAGAGGTGGCCCTGGCCCCAGGCATCACGTGTGAGAGGCTCAGAAGCTCGGGCAGCAGCTCCCGAGACACTGTGCCAGGTTCGCACTCCCTTGAGGAGACGGCATCGAGTGCCTGTCGGGGCAGGACGGCCACAGCGAGGCTGGCACTGCTCCTGCCTGGGAGGACCAGGTGGGCTAGGTCTGCACTGAGCCCGGCTGCACCACTGAGGCCTGTGTGAGTCCGTGTAGGACATGCACAGCCCAGCTCGGAACGACCAGGCTTCTCTGGGGACGAGACTTTACTGTGTCTGTCTATCCTGCACCCGACGCAAAAAGCTGTCCCTTTCCCTCTCACAATTCCCTGACTGTAACCACACCGCACTCACATCCCCAACATTTTTTATGGATTAGTGCAAAAGGGCTTTTGGGGTGCAAACGTGTGTCTGTGTGATTCTAGGGACTGAATCCACTGAGCTCCATCCCCAGCCCTTTTTCATTTTTCATTTTGAGACATTTTCTATTTTTCATCTTTTATTTTGAGACAGGGTCTCACCAAGTTGCCCGGGCTCAGCTCCAACTTGCAATCCTCCTGCCTCAGCCCCTCAGAGGGCTGGGGTTACAGGTGTGAGCCACCTTTTGATCTTAATTATCCTTTAATCTTTTGTATCTCACAAGTATGAATTATTTATTAGAAGTAGAAACACTTTTGATTGTAATCATTTATTAAGGAAATAGATATCTTTTTAGAGTGGTGCTCACTGCTGCCAATGAAATGCTTAATAAAACGGACGCCTTCTCTTTTCTTTGCAATTTAGAGAACAAGGCCCAAAGGAATTCTTACAAATCTGCTAGTACTGTCATTTTTCTATCAGATTTTTTTACTGGATTTTTAAAAACTGAGCAACAAACCTACATAATGTGTGACTAGTTTGGTCACAGCACAGGTTTTCAAGATGAGAGCGAGCGAGCGAGAGAGAGAGAGAGAGAGAGAGAGAGAGAGAGCGCATAATGACAGTCAATGCTTTGCCTCTTAGAGAAGCATAAATGTTCCAACTTACCTGCTTGGAAAAAACAGAACAGGATAATAACCCCAGGAACATCGCTTCGTTTCAGGTTACACAGATAAGGAGAGAAAGGGTGTCACAAAAGAAAGAGGATGAAGAAGAGACCAGAGAGGAGAGAAAGGAGAGTAAAGCGGGCAAGGGAAGGGGACAAAGTCCCCAGGGCAGCAGTGAGAGGCCCAAGACAGTGACCTTCTCTCATTCCACCCTGCACACCCTGAGCAGTTGCCACCCGTGCAGCGTCAGCCCCAGAGAGGCCGTGGCCACGAGCTGCACTTCCCAGCCGTGGTCTAGAGAAGAGCTCCTCTAGGGCAACCGGCAGCCTGCACGGGGCACGTGAAGGAACCCCCTTTGGCCTGGGCAAGCTCACTCGCGGACCACAGGGGAGCGGGTAGAGCGTCGCTATGTTCCAAGGCTGAGGTCACAGGCGGGCAGCAGTGCCAGCCTCAGGCCTTGCCGGGCACTTACCTCCTCAACCATCTGCTTGACTTTCTTCTGCTGGCAGTGCACCATGTCATCCAGGTGTCTGATCCGCTCTCGGAGGCTGGCTGAGGCCTCCTCCAGCTGCTGATACCTAACAGGGGGAAGAAAAGGCAACTGAGTCGTGCACCCAAGCGCCCACACCAGCAAGAAGGTCCCGGCCTTGGAGAAATACCGCCAAGACCAGGAAATGAAACTCCAAGACGCACTCTGCTTCCTGTGCACATGCTAGGCATAAAGGAGTCAAGTCTCCGCCCTCACAGAGCCTCTCTCCCTCCCGTGCTTGAGTTGTATCCTGAATAAGAACAATTACTGTGCTTTTCCAGGGGTGGAGAATGTTTTCACCCACTTACAAGTATACAAGGCTCTCTTTCGGAGTTGCTAGAAGATTAGAACATCCAGCCAGGTACTATGATTAGGAGAACAGAGCAGAAGGAATTTAGCAGCACAACAAACATCTGAAACCCAGTGCCAGGGTCTTGGAAAACCCGGAGTTGCAGCTGCTCTGTGAATTGTTTATTTTGGATGAACGAGGAAGAGGCCAAGAGACAACTGCATCGAAACAGTGGCACGTCACGAGACATTCCTTCCTTCTGTCTTAAAGCAGCACACGCACTTCTCTGACTGTGCTTGGGTCAATGAAACCAAAGGACACAGCAGCTGGTCCTTCCGCTCTGTGGGACGCCGGCGGGGCGCCCTAGAGGAGGGGTTGGTGCCACCTCCCAGCTCTGACCCTCAGCACTACAGTGAAATCCAAGACTCCAAACACCCCGGAAACTCGCAGTCCCACAGGAGCAAGGGCCTCGGAGAGACTGTTACTCCCCAAGGTGCTCCAGTCGTCCAGCGTTCACTTGAAAGACTCAGTGCCTCGAATTCCTTGAAAAGTCAGTTTACTATGGCCACATTTCCCACCGAGGTTTTACATCCTCATCGCCAAAGGCAGGACTTGCAAACAAAACACATTCTTTTCAATTATTTTCCAGGACACGTGTTATTAACTACAGCTGCTGTTTTCCCAACACCCAAGGTGCATCCTGTGGAGCTCAAGGTTATGAAGAACTGCAGGGGACTGGACTTTCACAACGGCCCCAGAATTCAGTGCGTCTCCTGGGCCAAGAAGGAGCCACAGGCAGGGAGAGGTGGAGTCCGCTCGCGCAGGAGCCCGCCCCACCCCAGAAGCTCTCAGCCCCCAGTCACATCCGGGTATGTTTCCAACCAGTGATGAGCACATCGGTGAAAACGCAAGGTCCAATTCTCCCACCACACCAGGGCAACCCACCCGCTACATCCACTCCCAGACCAAGGGCCCTGCATCCTACCTTTCCTTGTCAGCCTCGGGAATCTCCCCGGACATTTCTGTCTCATGCTCCAGAAGCTGCAGTTGCAGCTGGTGCCGCTCCTGAAACAGATAGATACAGGGAGATCCCAGAGAAGCTGGACAGAGGAGGTCTGGACCAAACAATTCTGGTGCTCGTGAGTCCCAGTCTATACGACACCCTCCAGTCTTTACACACCCACCCAGTCTCCCACAGCCCAGACCAATTCAAAGGGCAAATCTGTTAGAGGGCATTTACAGATATATTTATGGATCCGTGTCAAACACCATGGGTAAAACCACATTCAAGATTTGCTAAAAAATATTCCATCACCCTTGACTCAGGTATCTTATGAAAATGTATAGCAGTTCTAAAAAAGGCTATAAGTCAGTAGCCTGTGACATTGTAGAATTCTTGACTGTTACCTAAATCATCATAAAAGAAAAGCTCTGAAATTCTGACAATGTTCTATATACCAAGCTAGTGGTATTTACACATTGTGGGCACTTCTAAAAAGTGTACTATGGTCTGAATAATGATTCCCTAAAATTATCCACATCAGAATCTCTGAAACTTGGAAATATGCTATTATACATAGAGAAGCAAACTTTGAATATGTGGTTAAGATCTGCAAATGGTGTATGGAGTGGTATCCTGGGTCTTTATTTGAAGAAAGGCAGTAGGTTAGATTCAGAGAGAAGATGGAAGATCCTACAGTGCTGGCTCTGAAGGTGGAGGAAGGGGCCACAAGCCAAGGAATGCAGGCAGCCCCGAGAAGTTAGAAAGTCAAGAAAAGAGCTTTTCCTTTCAAGTTTCCAAAAAGAATCCACCCCAGCCAACTTCTTGATTTTAGGACTGCTTGCTTCCAGAACCTAAAGAGAATAAATTAGCGTTGTTTGAAGCTACTAATTTTGTAGTAATTTGTTACAGTGGCAATGAAAATATACATGTATCAGGCTCTGCACTTTGGATACTTTTATTGTATATATGTAAATTATTGTATATATGTAAATTCAAAAGTTTACCCAAAATTAAGAATCTGGATGATTATCTATGGAGAAAATGGGAAAATATTAATTAAAAGTGCAGTGTCCATCACCACTGAAATTGTGCTAGAAATACAGCATAGATGTTTATGCAATCAGTTTCCTTAAAATGGAAGTTTATCAAGTCCTGTCACCGAGAGGAGTCCTGCCTCAGCTTTACACTTAGAAATTCTCCACAACAAACCTTTACAAATTACATAGATTCCAAACTTCTTTTCCACCAACCTATTAAAAGCAACTCTTTGGAAATTTAACTACCACTACTTCTGAAGCATAGAGGTGGCACCCAGGGGAAAGCCAGGCTGGCCAGGAAGAGCATCATACCACTGAGGTGGGAAGAAACTGACTTGGGTTTTGCTACTGTTTTAAAAATCGCTACAGCAGACACACATTCTTACAGTCTGGCCTGGGCAGGAAGTTTTTCCTGGCCTGAATGTTTTGCCAGTTCTCATCAGCCCTGAAATGAGGGTGACAGCTCTTTCACAAATGGGTGCTCCCCACCCCCTCAAAAAATGCCATAAGGCAGTTCAAGACCTAACTGCAGCACATTTAAAAATCTATTTTTTTAAAAAATTGAGGTGCAAGAAGTATTGGGTGTGCACTGCACAATCATTTCTTCCCTTTGGGTACACCTGTGAAGCCACCAGCCAGACCCAGGATGACCTGTTGCCCCAAGGCCCCCAGAAGGTGCTCTCCTTAGAAGATGTTCACTGATAAAAATAAAGGTGTTTCCAATACAGTGCTCAGTAAGACATCAGTAAACTGAGGTGTGCGATGGAGAAGCCAATCAAAGGACAGTTTGGCTTCAAGCAAAACCCCCCAAAAAGGACAACAAGGTACACACACTGCTGTGTACACAGAATAGGACCGAGTTCTGGCCAGATCTTTGCTCTCAAAGGTTATCCCTGAAGAGGAAAGAATATATCTAATCCTAGCTAAATACAGAATATACTTCTCAGTTGGGCAAGGTAGCAAACACCTGTAATCCCAGCACTCTGGGGGGCTGAGGCGGAAGGATTGCAAGTTGGAGCCAAGCTTAGGCAACTGAGCAAGACCCAGTCTCAAAATAAAACTTAAGAGCTGAGGAGGTAGCTTAGTGTGAAGGCCCTGGGTTAAACCCCCAGTAGTATGAAAAAGAAAAGATTCCTCCAGCCTAAATGGAAAGAAAGGTTTAGAGACAGGATAAAAGTTCAATCACTAGAGAAAAAGCCAACAAGATTTGAGGCATCTTCCGTGTCTCCTAAGTGCTGGCAGAGTCAATATCACTGCCTCCTGGGGCAGCATGTGGAGTTTAGCAGGGACAAACTAGAAGTTTCAGAACCCCAAGGGTACAGAGAAGATCAATTATAAAAGCTGCCACTAGGGTACAGTCACTTACGCAAGCTTATAACAAAATAAAAATAAATGACCTAGATCTTTGGCTGGGGCCAGGTCCTGCACTCAGCACTTGTGAGTTTTTCTTATTTACTATCTTTTTTTGTTTTTGTTTTTGTTTTTTGGCACCAGGGATCAAACTCAGGACCTTGCACTTTCAAGGCAGTCACCAAAACCACTGAGCCAAATCCCCAGCCCTAGTTTTTCTTATTTACTTCTCACAAAAGCCATCAGAAAGAACATTATTAGCATTTCACAAGAGCGAAACTGGGCTTGGGAAAATGAAATAACTGCCATTCTAGAAAGAGGGGCGAGAACAGAGCCTGGGTCTGCCTGACGCTAAGCCCCCCGCTCTGGCCACACACACAGTCTCTCTGGAAGGTGCTGCCCCAGCAAAATTTGCCACCCAGAAAGCGTGTTGAACTTAACCAGTGTCTTCTTAGAAGCCACTGGGAGAACACTTCCCCTAGGTCTCCACCAGCACCTCCAGCTGATGCCATATTAGCGCTAGACGAGCCACAGCCTGCTTCTCGGTAAAAGGGGTGGAGGTGAGATTAGAACTCCGAAGCAAGGATATTCCATACAAAGGGCCCCAGTGATCCTGGAAGCTGTACACATGGAACTTAATGGGGTTCCCATGCTGGTCAGAACCTTGTGGGGGGCATAGAGGGCACTGAGGCAGACATCAAGGGAGTTACAGCATGCTCACGATATTGCCACCCTGACAGGTCACCTCTGTCTAACTGGAGAGCCATTTCTCGGAAACGAGCCACAGCTTTGGCCCTGAACTCCGGGGACCTCTCCCGGAACTCATCTGTCAGCTGCTAGATGTCACTATCCTTCCTGATCTCTTCCCTCTCTCCTGCCTTCTTCCCTTTCCTCCACTTCCTGCCTAGTTTCCGACTCCTCCCTTTCTCTAGACTGGTTTTATCATCCCTGCCTTGGGTCCCAGCCTCCCACACAGACAGGACAGAGCTGGGTGTTCAAGGCAACCCAAAGGGGCCTGATTACTCAACGGCAAGCCTGGTGCATGCCTGGGCCCTGAAGTTTTAGGATTTCGTAAAGAATTTCATATGGAATATATCCTTTAAAAGCATGAGAATAGGGGAAAATTAGAACTTTGTTAGACTTCTTCATATTTTATAGCTCTTTTTAAAAAAAATTGCAAACAGCCTAGAGGAATCAGAGCTGAGGGCTTCAGTATTTTCTGGCAGGCCTGCAGGGAACTGTGGAACACAGAGGCGCATTTCAAGGAGAAAAAGTGTGACATGTGTCACCTTTTCCATGCGCTCGATGAGCCTGTCCAGCTCCCCGATCTTCTGATCTTTCTCCTCGAGGCTGATCTCTGCTGCTTGCATCTTTTTATTGGCCTCTTCAATTGCTTTCAGAAAACTGTTGGTTTCTTCCTGCAAAACAAACATACTCTCTCAGCACAGGCCTTGCTAAGCCATGATCGCCCTTCCAAAGCCTGACCTCAGACCCCAGAAGCGCCTCACAGACAGCAGATTCAACTTCCATGATTCTGGTCTCATCTATGAATGAAGACACACTGTGTGGCTTTTTAATGAGCCTGACTACTTTTTCTCCCTTTTTCACCTTGAAACTTTAAATCTGAAAGGTGTAAAAGAGTCTGCAAATGCTTAAATAACATTAAGTAGATGTCCCCATATTCGCAAACAGTGTGAAGGGACTTAGTGGCAGGTCAGCAGTGGAATGAGAACGTCCACATCTTTCCCATACTCACTCCCAAGGAAGCTCAGTCAATCGTCAAGCCTCTAAGGACACAGCGATCCAGATGTGGAGTCCCTGCCTACCAAGAATGCGTGCTGCTCTGGCTTTAATGCTGGGTATAACAATCCCACATCCACAGCAAGGAGCCCAGGCAGTCTGTCAGAGGACAGACACTTCAGATGTATAAAAGGCAGACCTGGGGCGGTGGCTCATAGAGAGCTTGGATGGAATCCGAATGAGAAACCAGGGGTTTCGGGTAGAGAGGGGAAGGGCACGGCTGCAGACAAGCCCTGCTCAGAGCAGAAGGGGAGGCAGGAGGGAAGAGCGGAGCCAAGTGAAGGAGCAAAGGAATGGATTCCCAGATCCTCAACCATTTGGGAGCCCACAGATCTCCCTCAGAGCAAGCCCTACTCCCCATGTCTCCCATCGGCGTGGCCACTACGCACCAGGAGCGCCTCCCTCTCAGCGCTGTGCCTCCTCTGCTCCTCCTGCAGCCTCTCCTCATACTGGCTGTACAGCTTCTTGGTCATCTCCCTCATCACCTCGGCATTGGCCTCCTGGGAGGATTCCACCTGCAAGGAGACTCATTGCAGTGCCACTGCTCTGGTGGGTCCCAGGATGACCCCCAGCCTCCCCCGGGACAGCTTGCATGTGGACACACGGGAATAGGAACCATCATCGAGGCCTGTGGTCACAAGAAGCAGCAGGAACCTGCAGCAGGGAGCATTGGAGGAGGAAGGGGTGCATGCAGCCCAAATAAATGAAAACTGGCACCACTGTACACCAAGCTGTTAGGATGATCAGGACAAAGGTGAGCACAGGCATGGATTTTTCAAAAGGTAGAAACGGAACTTTGCTTAGCAACCCCATGAGCTGCCCTGGCCAATCCTGCACCTAGGTCAGAGTTCAGTTAAACTTATAAGAAATACAGCCTCATCTTTGCCCACCCGTGAACCCTCCCAAATGGCAGGAAGCACTCCAACCTAGCAGGGACACTAAACCGGGCACCGCTGGTGGTGTGAGCAGGTGGAGACTGGGAGGGAAGGGTCAGTAGAGCTAGGTGGGCGGGGTGCCCCTTCCTGCCCACCCACGACCTCACACGAGGTATCCAGGCCACTGATTTCACGCTCTCATCCCTTTCTCCAATTACTGCTTGCTCCAGAGCTGAGTCTGCTGAGCGTGTCACCTCCGGATAAGGGACATGTCCTTCAACCTGAACAGGTTGGTAGGTTTGCTCCCAAGATGTGACAAGTCTCTCTTGACCTCTTTAAATGCCTCTTATCACTAGGCAAGTGCAGTGCCAGCACCGAGAAACCACAAGATGGAAACTCCCAGGTGGGGCTATCATTAGCAAGAGTCCCACTCCGTTGACACCACACACAGGCTGTGTGACATAACCTGAGTCCCTGCAACTATTTTTTAAACTTGGAGGAGGGACTAAGAGGAACAGGAGGGGGCAGCCTGTCTAGCTCCATGGGTCAGGATGAAAACCAGAGGCTGGCCCTAGAGACCTGGCCATCAGATTGCCTGGTGATGTCCCTGATGTCTGGGGACACACTGCCCTGCACAAACAGGAAAGCCCGGGCAAACACAGAGCAGACGTCCAGAAAGTATTCATGGATGGAACAAATCATAAAGCACCTATGCTGAGGAAAAGACTCATTAATTTCAGACTTTTTCAGCAACAACCCTTTTTAGTTTAAGGCTCACCTCATGAGATTGGCCACAAAGGGTAAAAAATATAATGAAAGGAAAAATGGAAGAGCCAACCGGGGGAGGAGAGAAAGGAGGAGGACAGAAGAGCGAAGGTTGGCAGGAGACCTTGGCTTGCCCAGCACACCTTCATCTGCAGCAGCTGATTTTCAACTTGCACCGCCTCCAGCTGCCTCTGCTTCTCTCGCAGCTTGTCCATGGAAGCTTCGTATGTCCGCTGCAGATTTCTGATTTGATCCTTAATGTTGCTATTTTCCAAAGTAACATCCACAAGGGTTTTCTATTTTCAATGAAAATAAAACCAAAGCCAGAGTAGTGGTGTGAGGGAACATGGCCAGAGTCATGCCCTATCACGCCCTGTCAGGCCACCACTGCCCCACCTAGGGCCTTGTGGTTTCCCACGCGAGGCTTCCCATGGTGGCTGAGAGATCTGTATCCCTGTGGGCCAGCAAACCTCTCCAAAACCTCCCACAGCGGTTGCCAACACCACATGCTACTGCTTAGGGGGGTTGGAAATGGATTAAAACGGACTCTTTCCAAGGAAAAAATATGCATAAATACATCAATTCACACGGAAAAAAACAGGTTTGGAAAGAGTATAGTACAGTCCCACTAATAAATCCAAATAACAGTTTCCACAATGTGCGAGAATTATGAATATTTTCTTCTTTGTTTTTCCCCCTCTATTTACCACACACAGAATAAGAAAAGATGAATTTCATAGAATGATAATATCCCTGTTTTTTCCTTGGAAGGGTCATCACGGCTGTACTTGTGGACTGCCTGCTCCACCCGGGACAACATGGCAAAGCCGCCACATGCTTTATCTCCCTCCCAGGTTAGAAGCATCACCAAAGGATAGAGTTGGTGACTTGGACAAGTGCCTGGGAAGGGCCAAGAGCCTGTGGATTATCACTCCAGGCCACCAAAAGGGATGAGTTTGTTTACATTAATAGTGCTGCAATTTATTGCTTCATTTTCCAGTTGGTTAGCCCTCCTAAGAGAAATGGCTTGTGCAAACTCCAGCACCCACGACTGGGTACTGAGTCAGGGCACCTGCACCACCTCCCCAGCTCATCTACAACTTCAAACCAGAAGATCTGGAAACACTATCTTGTTAGATGATCAGCCAGTGCCCCCTCCTCAGCCCCTGTGTGACCAGTAACAAGCCTCTGGCTCCTAAGCCTACTGGAGCCAGAATAAGGAACTGTTGGTGGAGAAAGTTAGATATTAAAGGAAGTACCAAAGCCATTTGGAACCATGAAGTCACAACATGTGAGCTTCCAGGGGCTTTGGAAGGCGGCTCCCTCTGCCCAAGCCCCTCTGGCTCTGTAAGTACTTAATACTCTGGCGTCCACACAAAAACCCACAGTGACCAGGAGACCAGATTCCTCTCATCCTGGTTTGCCACCAGCCAGACCCCTGGTTCACATCACTGCTGTCTGCTGGCCTTGGTTTATCCATACAACAAAAGGTCAGAAAGCATCTCAAGAGTCCTTTCTAGTGCTGATATTCTGTGAAATCAAGCCAAGGGTCTGGTCTCTCTGTCTATAAAAATGAACATGGTAGAATGGACAAGCAGAAGAAGCTAAGGTCTGCATGAAAAAGAATCCTATGATCTTCAAACAGTGACTTAATTTTTAGTTAGTTATAACTGGATGGCCAGGACTGAGAGCCTGGACTATAACTAAGAATCGGTGAGAGTGCCTGGGTTAGGGCTGACTCTATGCTAACAGCTGACCTCTGGGATAAATGCTTGAACTGCTGGCCAGATAGAACATCTGAAGAAGATTCCAGAAAATACTGGAAAATTTTTTTCTGGGGAAGAAAATATAGACACAGTACAGATACCAACCAACTATGGACTCTGGTGGGGTTAAGCCCTCCATGCTTGCTGAGCCCCCTTTCTGATCAGGGGAAGGGAAAAATAAAGGCTTCTGAATGAGCCAGAGCCAAAGTGGGTCTTGGCCTGAGGCCATGGGGAAACTGGCATACACAAAGAAAGCAGGAAAAGCCTCACCACACACGGGCATCCCAGACAAACCAAACACAAGACCCGCCCAGACCCACTGCGGATGAAGGCCAAGCTTTGTCACTGCCACAGCTACGATATCAGCTGTTGATGGAAAATACAAGGTTCTAGGGGAGTGGACAAGCCCAACAGGAAAATCTGTTTACTTATTCCTAAATTATTTATATAGAACCTGAAAGGATTTTAAATAGTTCATGGACATTTTAGGAAGGCAGTAAGATGACAAGACCCAAGTAAAGTTGGAGGGGCAGTGAGGATTGTTTATATACTGGGAAAGTAAGCCAAGGAGAGCTATTTCAAGGAAACATGATGCTTTGTTGGAGACATCTTCAAATTCAGTTGCATGCTCAGTAGATTGGAAGAGAAAGAACCATTTGTATGGTTAGCTCTCAGCAAATCAAATTAATGAAAGAACATTCTCTTGAAGTAGGTTGACAACACATCTTTTCGAATGTAGGATGCTGGGTCTTTCTGTTTCCCTGTCTGGTATTTCAAGACAGTCTTCGGAATACAGGAATACTCATGATTCTTGTTAATGCCAAATAAATTCTAAATTAAGAAAAAGAGCTTACCAGCCTTGGGAGCTACTTGCCATGAGGGGGTATAGATTGTCTTGAGGTAAGTCTGTCTTTTTTGTGACTGTGTGGAATTTCCTGAGCTACTAGGGATTTAGGGAGAAGGATGCTGATGTGTTGCACTTGGGGCTTCTCCACACAGGGATGGGAACCATGCCTGGCACTGCCTGGCTGCTCTCTTACAGATGGGAACAGCACGTACTTGCAGTCCAATGGAGTCCGACGCCAAGGCCGAGTTCATGGCATTGAAACTATCCAGGGCAGAGGACTGGGTTTGGATGTGGTTCTCTAGATAGTCCTGCCGAGCATGGGAAACCTGGACAGAGGAGGAGACAGTCACTCAGAGCCAATCCACACACCCATGGCAACCTTCAGTGAGGCAGGAGCTTCCTTCTGACAGTAGCTAGACAGTAGCTATGTCCATATCAACTCGACTTACGGCAAGCTTTTTTTTTTTTTTGGCGGTACTTGGGATCAAACTCAGGACCTTGCACTTACAAGCCAGGCACAGCGCCACTGAGCTAAATCCCCAGCCCAATTTATGTCAATCTGTATACTAAAAGCCAATGTCTGCATGACCCAGTGAAGAGAAAAACATAAATACTCTTCCTGTGGGTACTATTCACACAGTACCCACAGGGAAGAAACAGAATCGGAGAGGACAAGTGATCTGCTCACAGAGACATAGCTCAAGTGGCACAGCTAGAAAGAGATAAGGGCTTCTGCCATCTTGCTCTTTGTATGGACCACTGGAAAAACGTGCCTTGGATTAACACAGTTCTCAAGGGTTCTTTTATTACTGCTGCCTTGTTGGGCGTGTGTGTTTAACAAGTGAGAAAGTTTCATCAGAAGCCAATCTTGAGTTAGACTTCAGCAAGGGCTGGGATGGAAAGTCTGGGAGGCCACAGGACTAGGGGTCCTCAGGAAGGCCTGAGGTGGGCCTGTGAGGTGCCCCCTGTTGGTGGAAGAGGGAGTGAAACAGTAGACCAGGCAGGAGCAAGAGGCCCAATGTCCTTCAGGACCGTCTAGGGCAGTAGCCCAGCTCACCTCATCCATCTAAGAACATGGGGTGGTGCAGGGGATAAAGAGACTGGCAAGGAGTCAGGATTCCAGGGGCAGCTGGAGCATGAGAAAATAAAGATGTGTGGGAGACAGTGATGGAAGCAAGGGGCAGGGTCTTGTTTACCCTGCTACTGCAAATTCCATCCCTGGGCTTTGAAGGCAGTCATTAGTGTCTGTCAGAGGATGGCAGGGTGGATCTCTGTGACAAGGTGAGACTGTCACCGGTCTCCTCCCACATTCCAGTGAGAATGGGCCAGGAGGGCATGTTTACATGCCCCAGTCCTATAATCAGGCCATAGGTCTGCACAGACAGATAAACCACAGCCCAGCCATAAACTGAACTCTTAGACATGGAGGCTGTCACTGCCCTCTTTCTTGCAGATGTTGGCTCTTATGGGAGGATGTCACATATGCACAGTCTCTTATCTTTGAGATTCTTAATAACATATGTCGTTTAAGTCCCACAAGCATTGGCTTAGTTAGACTAGAAGAAGCTTATTTTTCTTAAATTTCTGAATAGAAGTACACTGACATGGTGCCAACATTTAAAAAGTATTACAGGTGCAGACGGAAATAAACCTCCCTTTCTCCTCTATCACATCGGCCAGGTTATCACCGTGCACATCTGCACCCCTACCCTTTCCCTGAAAATAAGACCTACCGGAAAATAATTGGCTTTGAAAACTAGAGATCGAAAGTGCCAGCCCCAAATCCCTTGCCATCCCTGCCATTACTGTTCTCTTGCTGGGTGGCTACTCTGTAAGGAGGTAGGGCTGACTGGGGCTGGCATTTTTCACCTCTAGTCTTCAAAGTTGATTATTTTCCAGCTAAGTCCTATTTGGGGGGAAACGCAGTAGTTAGGGAGCCACTGTTAATCACTTCCTGGATTAGCCTTTTAGCAACTTTTGGTCAAACAAAACAAAATACCTTGAAATAGTTATTTTCTCCTCCTGTTTTATACAAATGGTAGCAAACTATACATATTTTTCTACAGTTTGCTTTTTCATCTACTCTGTATCTTTGAAATCTTTCCCTACCTGTTTTTGAACAGCCAGGTTGCTCTTTCTTTTTTCAACTGTATGTTTTCTATTGGAGAGATATAATTTACTTTCCTATTCTTGATGGACATTTGGATTTCTAATCTTTTTTACTATCATGAAAATACAGCAATAGATTAGTTCATCCCTCAGTCATTTCACATGTGGAGAGTTTAATCTGTAGAGTAAATTCTTAGGAATAGACGTAGGGGGAATGCTTTGAATATAAAGAAGATTATAATTGCCATAAGTTTTTCTTTTAATAATAAACTTCAATGTATGACAAAAATTCCCTCCATTCATTTAAAATATGGCTCCATTTATAAAGAAAATTATACACTCAGGCATCTTTAGGTACCAGCCTCTGAGAGGAAGTCCCAAGTTCTGCCATCCATCCATCCACCCACTTTGCCACTGAGACACTGACTTACGGACAGTTCCTGGGTGAGCTGTCGAATCTTCTGCCTCATTTCATCGTAGTCTCCATACATGCGCCTCCTTACTTTTTCCAAAGTGGCTCTCACCTACAGCCCACAAAAAAAAATGCTATTAGGGATCATTATGTTATTATGACATTTTCACACCTGGTGTCCGAGACTTTGCTAATGAGACAAAGCCCCACAAAAAAATATATTAAAAATAATAATCTTGTAAATGAAGGGTGAAGGTCACTACTGACACCTACTTAGAAAGCAATTATCCAAGTAGCAATAATTATAAATAATAATTATATATACCTATAATAATGAATATTAGTTATCCAAATAATAAACTCTGAAGAAAGAATGGTTTGTTGAAATTCACCTGTCACTCTCCAACCAAACTGGGCAAGGCCTATTATCCCTTTTCCTATCACATTTTTATAAGTAGAAAGTTTCCTATAAACATGTGGCCAAGAGAACCAAAACCCCTAAGAGCAAACAGCAGCCTTTAATTTTTCCCTGTGCCGGCTCTGATAACCAAAAAACAACTAAATGCCTAGAAAGTAAGGCAGTGAAATGTGTTCCCTGGAGGGTTCACAAATTCAAAAGTCAGTCCTTCAATAATCACCAATAGTACAGGAAACACTAGTTGTGAAAAGTGAAGGGAACCCTAAAACGCTTCTCCACACAAACACAGTTCTAATAACAGGACTTAAAAAAAATTTTTAGCCACAACAAGGAACCTTACAAACAGACTTTGTTTCTTCCTGTCTTCTGGTGTCCCTAGATGAACGAAGTTGGACCGGTTTGCTCCAGGTGTGCCCCAGGATTCCCAGCTTAGATGGGCTTAGGGCTGCAGTTCGGTGAGAATGCAAGTTTTTAGGGACAGTGATGGGACACCTGATGATGGAAGTGTGTTTGCATAGCAACATCCTGTTTTGAATCAGACTGGATATTGGTGGACAAGTAAGGGGGGAAGAAGAGAGGAGTGAAGACCCAGCCTTTCCTAGACGGATTCTAGTAATAAGAGTTTTCTTTCTTGCCATCGACTATAAACATTTTGGGAAAATGAGGCAAATTCATCCTAGGCTGACAGAATGACTGTCCTCTGCTGTCCCACGCTGGGCCCTGTGCTGTCACCAATGGGCGTGGGTGGGATCTTCTCACTGGTAAACACTGCAAGAACCAACATGGCTAGAGATTCGCTCACCAGGGAAAGAGCACAAACAAACCCACAAGCACACTTCAGAATGAACAGACCAGGGGTGGATCGGAAGCCAGTTACAGAAGGTGGGACCTGAAAATTAGCTTTAAATTGCAGATGACAGTGGAGGCTGGTAATTTTCTAGGTCAGAACCAGCCCTGTGACTTTGCAATGCGTCACCCACAGCTGAGAATCAGCCTGAACCTGCTGTCTTTGTCTTGGGCAACTTGTAACTTGGGCTCTATGTGGACGGTTGACCTCTAAGGCAATCCCATGCTATTTGGAACATATAAATGAGGAAAGGATGAGCATTTCCTTGAGAAAAATACAGGAGGCATAGAATGTCTGTGCTGCAAAGAGCAAGCAGGAGTGGAATATTCTGCATGGTTATACTCTCTTGGGAGGTACAATAAACAGGGATTTGAGGCCAGCAGTCACATTCTGTATGTGTAGCTTTTCCACATATTTTTTGCTAAGAATTTATTATTTTTACTTTTTAAAATTCAAGAAGAAATGTTCTTCTAAAACCCATACAACAGCTAAGAAATGTGGCTTTGCACTTTATCTGCAGACCCACAAAATGAAATGCGGTGCGCTCTAGAGTTGCAGGTTTTCACCTTAGGGATCAGAGCCCAGCTCACCCCTTACACATGAGAAAATAGAAGCCAAGAGTGGGCCAAGGTGACCTGCCAGGCCAGACTCAGAGCTGCATCTGGAAGCAGGGTCTGTGGACTCAGGCCTGGGGCTTTCCACTGCCAAGTCACAGGTCAGCGCGAGGGCCCATCCCCACCCCTGAAAGCAGCCCATTTCCTCTTTCATCTAACAACTTGGTCTGGCCAACAGGAGCATAGGTCAATCTAGGGCAGTGGCGGCAAATTTATGGCACGTGTGCTGCAGCCAGCTATTTGTTATTATCATTGAAAACTCTAAATGGTTCATTAACACTGATCTAGGGGGACACTGAGGGGAAGGAGGGAAAGGGATATAGACAGATATCAAATATTAGAAGAAAATGCTCCAAAATGTTAACAACTATAGCAGATGAATGGTGAGATTATGGGTGTTTTCTTCTTCATACACTTTCTCATTTTCCAAAACTTCCCAAAAGAATATGTAACTTAAAAGATAAGAAATATAATACTGAATATAAAGAAATAGCATTGATTGGCTTGGGTTGGACAACATCTACTGTGGTTGACTTCCTAGAATTCTTGTCGTTGGTCTGAACCAGTCACGTCTTCCTGTTCTTGCCAGTGATAGGTCTGGGGGACGAGGCATGTGACCAGCCCTGGCCAATAAGACATAAGGGGAAGTCTAACGGGGGAGAGAGTATCCAAAAGTATCCAGGGATAAGTGGTCTCGTCTCTTCCTCCAGACACTGACATATTTTCAGAAGATACCCTGAGCCTGAGACTGAAGAAAGAAAAAACCAAAGGAAATAGAGAAGTAGAACCAGAGTTTAGATATACCCTGCCTGCAAGCCTACTTACCTCCAGACTCATTGCCATAGGAGATAAATTTCCTTTTTGAGTAGCCTTTTCTGTTATGCCAAGAATATCCAGGTGTATACAGTTGTCCAAATTTATACATAGGTGTGTCCAGTGTAATGAGCAAAACCACTTAAGTGCCTCTGTTCCATACATGCAAGAAAGAAGCCATTGGTCTTCTAAGGACCCCTGCTTAGTAACATCAACCCTCAGAAGTTCAACTATGCCTCGCTGTAGAATTGCATCTGTACTTTTAACACTAATGTGAAGATATCTAAAAACACTTCCAGCTAACAGAACGCTAAGAATTCTCCCAAAATGCCTGCTATGTTCACATCAGTGCTTCCAATTCTACCCTCTTACATGTTACAAAAGGAGTATAAGCCAGAAATTGAAAACTCCTCAATGGCTCACATCTTTGATGTAGTTCATCTCTTCTTTCAACTGACTGGTGGACCAGCCGTACACCACCATTTCCTTCTGCTGGTTTTGATCTGATCTTCGCACCACACCATAAACCACGCCCTGAGGAAGTTTCCTGGTAGATTCTCCATTGCTTAGTTCAGGAGGCTAAAGGGGGTAGAAACAGAGAAAAAGCACAGTGACTCTGTAAGCCTCCTGGAAACAGCTGTGACAATGGGCGTACCTCGCGGGATTCTGCAGAATGGGCCCCTCTCTGGGTGCCTGGCTGCAGTGGCAGAGGGGCAGATACCTCGCCTGGTTTCTGCCTTTACCCTGGAGGCAGAGCACTTGTGCCAACTTCTGCCGCAGCCCTGCCCGCCAACCTTGTGGTGCAGCCGAAAAGCCCTGCCCTCCTGGAGGGCTCGATCTTTCCTAATTCCTACTGAGGTGCAAGGACTTGCATCGCGATACTCTAGGTGATGCTGTTTTTCTCCTTGTACTGGTTGGTCTGATGACTCCCACCTTATTTCTAAGTGTGTGGGCTGAAACATGGGAGGTTGAGATTGTCAGTCACCTGGCAACCACACTGTCCTCCAAGCACAGGGCTGACCTGGGGCCGAGTTCTGTTGAAAAGAGGCGGGGTTAGTACACAACCTGTTGTGACTATTCACGAAATAGTTCTGAAAAGCCAGACAGAGGCTATATGACTTGAGTCCAAAAGAATCTTCCTGTTCCTGCAAGCTGAGCCTTAATTACGTCAATTAAAGCTTGGATTGTTGTTGAAACGAAAATCCCCTTGAGAAAGGATGACAAGTCCAGGTCATAATACATTTGTCTGGAATGAAGGCTTGGGAAGCAGGAAAAGGGGAAATTAAGGTTTGGTGCCCACCCACAGAAGGCTGGAGGTGTTCCTGAGCACGTTCAATGTTCACAACCACTCTTTAACAGCGATTTGCTTCTCCACTTCCTGGCTGCAGAAACTGAAGTTCAGAGAGGTAAAAGAACTTGCTTAGGATTGCACATGTCAATAGCAGGCAGCCCTGTGGGACACTAAGGCCTCCTCCTCGCTGCAGGGTGCGTCTGACACAGGATGCAGGATATAGGGGGACAGAGTTGGGGCCTCCACAACATGGAGGGGTCAGAGACAACAAAGAAGCCAAGCTAAATGACAGGAGGCACCAGCCTCCTCCTGCCCTCCCCTGGGGGCGCCCTGGCACCTCAGTGAGACCCCTGCAGATGCCTGAACCCCAGGGCGCAGGGGGTTTTTGCTAACTTTTCAACCAACTTTGCACAAATTTTTTCTGTCTACACAAAATATTTTTTGACATTCAGAACCGTAATCTGCATTTAAAAATCATTCATTATAGGAGAATAATAAGTACTTTATGATCCCAAAGTTTGTAAACATCTTTTAAGTTTTTGTTTTCTGAGATAGTCTCACTATATATCCAGGCTGGCCTTGAACTCGAGGCAATTCTCCTGCCTCAGCCTCTCGAGTGCTGGGATTACAGGTGCGCACCACCATGTCCAGCAATAAACTTTTTTTTTAAGCCTAGAATAAGATACATGACAAATTATTAATAATAGTGACTCTGAAGAGGAGCCAGTGGGGTGGCACAGAGATGCTGGGGACTGGATGAATTTCATTTTTCCTTACACTCTTCTGGACTGTTTGAATTTTTAATTAATTTATTTATTTATTTTTTACCATTAGAGATCTTTATAAGGAAGAAAACATATCCATTGAATCCCCTCCTCTGCACCTGTGTAGGAGGAGTTAAGACTGGAGGGCCTGGGCCCCCACTCTTCTGGCAAGTGCTGGCACCATGACTCTGGCCCGGGTCCCACAGAACCCACCACCACTCCTGAAATGTGCTCCTAAGTCTGGAGCAGTGGGCTGTCACATGGCCCTTGGTAGCTAAAGGAAAACGCCAACCTCCTCACACACCCGGAAACAAAAGCTCCCTCGCCAGACCACAGACTCCACCCAGTTCCTGAAAAACAAGCCTAAACTGATGACAGACAAAGCCCCAGTCTGTGGAGTACAGAGAATCGGAGAGGGACTGGAGGGGGACTGGAGCCGTGGACATGGAGACTGCTGAAGGCAAATTTCACGTTCCCACTTTTTGTTTTTTAAGAATGTATGTGTTTTAGTCAGGCACAGTGGTGCATGCTTGAAATCCCAGCCCTTGGGAGGCTGAGGCAGGAGGGTCACAAGTTAGAGCCCCACCTGGCCAGTATACCTAGACCCTCTCTCAAAACAACAGCAACAATAAAAAATGTGTGTGTTTGTGTAAAACGTCCAGAAAGATGCAATCGAAACCTTACTTACCATTTCCTCAGTAAAATGGGATGTCATTTTCTCCTCTCAGTTCTTTTGTACTCTTTAACGGGGGAGGGCACAAAATCCAAATGTTGTTGACTTGGTAATTTTTTTAATTATTATTTTTAAAAAAGAAACCGTGAAAGTAAAAGTTGTTGAATTGTCAAGGTCTAAACGAGATACTTTGGAGCTCCTGGCCACAGCAGGGGAAGGGACGGGGAGGGGAAATCTATACGAAGACAGAGAAGAGGAGAAATGTTTGCTGTCCAGGAATTTTATTACACAAGTATTTTCTTTAGTCTTCATCGCAACTCTACTGTGTAAATACGATCTGAGGCTGACAACATTCAAGTTCCTGTCTTTGTCTTTCCAAATCTAAGTTCCTTCCTTATCTGCAGTGCACCCAGACTAGCTGAAAATCAGGACAGAAAACCCACTCCAGAGTCTCAAAGGGTAGGGATGCTGAGAGCCCAGCCTTCAGGTCCCAGGCCAGTCGGAGTGGCCCACCCTGCCCCCTGCCAATATCCTCCACTCCAGGATGTCTGGGTCTTGTTTGTCTTCTTCCCCACTACAATCTTCAGCATCTGGCAGAGACGGACACACAATGACTTTCTCAGTAAATATTTGCTGAGTGATTGGGGAGCTTTAGGAGCTAGAGGTGGATTGGGGAATCACCCAGAGCACCTCATTTGGTCCAGAGCAGGGACATCTTTCTTTGTTCCTCTTAGATGGAGGGATGGTGAACTGACATTTACTCCAATCACAAAACTTGTATCCAGAGAAGCTCCAAGCAGCAGACACTGCTATTTTTACAAAATGTCAGTATGCTTCTAACCTAAAATTGGAGAATTTAGGAAAAATAACAAGAGCCGATATGTTTGGCAATGTCTGTGGCTGAATTTTTCTCCTCTGGTATCCTTTAAAATATCTCTCTGTAAGATAAATATTAATTTTTAGGCATGATAAAAGTATTGTGATAATATTAAGAAAGTATCTTTGAGAGTAACATGCAAAAATAGTTATGGCCTATGTATTTACTCACACAGGGTGGGGGAAAGCTACTGGGGCTGAATAAGGGGCACTGATTCACCACACATTTCAGTCTTCATTTTGTACAAGTTTGAATGCTCCATAATTAAAAGGGTTTGTTTTTTTTTTAACCCTCTTTACAGTGCTGCTTGAAATTTGCAAAAAATCGAATTTTAAAAATATATATGAAACCTATGACAAGCCTTCTGGGTATTAAACAACGTCAAGCAAATCTCCTTGAAAACAAAAGCCCTAATTGTAGCAGACGCTTCTGCCCAGTATTTGCAGGCTATAGCGGCACAAGCTTCTTGCCCCTCAATAACTTGGCTGTGCTACATTGGAAGTAGCAGGGGTCGGCTGAGTTCACTTCCAGTCAAGGTCAATGACTCCGACTAAATTTTTCCCCCTCTGAATTAACAGTTTGTTCTCTTCAGCAAAGATACGCTTGTGCCCTCATTCTACAGTCCTGCCTGCTTGGTACTTGTTACCAGCAGGTGTTCCGAGGCCTGCCCAGCTCCCCTCTTCCCACACTTGTAATGAATCAACACTGGATGTCCTGGGAGTCCTTTGTCTTTGCTGCCCAGAGCATGACTCGGTTTCTCTCAAGCCTCTGTCTGTGTGTCTTCATTTCCCTCTTTCCTATCTCTTGGACATTGTATTGGCTCGCAGGAGACCAGGACCACTGCAGGTAATGATCCCTTTCTGGTTCCCTATATCTAATAAATGCTGGAATGAAAAGAAAGTTATTAGTGAAGAAGGGAAAGGGGAACAACCAATCAAAAGGCCTTCTTCCACTGTCCCGAAGTGCCAGGCATTGAGATGAAGAACAAGCAAGTGATGTGACAAGCATGAGGGTATTTCCTGTGAGACTGTACAGCTAGAAACCTACCTCCAAGCTCATCCAATGGCACAGTTAGCAATTCCTGAGAAACTGGGATAGGAGGAGCAACTACAGAAAAGCAGCACCATCTCAATCCCTGCTGTAAGGGATTCACTGGCCCCTGGAGAGCCTGGATTAGTGGGGCCAGTGACAGCTGACTGTGTTTTCCAACTCCCGAATTAGAATATGTGATCTCACAACGCAGCAAGCACCACGAAGGCAAGGGCCACATCTGCCATGCGCACTGCCATATCCCAATACTTAGCACAAAGAGAAGCATACATGCACCTTTAGGGAAGGCAGATTAAGTATTTGGGGTTGGGACTATGCTGAAATATCTGGAGTGTCTGACCATCTGGGACACCAGGACTGATCTGTGCAAAGGAAGAAAATCCTTGGTCAAGGACTCTCGGGGGAATAAATAACAACAGAAACACTAACTAACTTACACTGCAGGCAGCCTAGGCCAGGAAAGCCCACCAGGAGCCAGGAGTCACACATCCAGGCTGCCAATGTGACTTGGGAAGACCATGACGGGAACTGAACTGAAGCAATAGATTAGGACATGGTAGATGGCTGGGAAAGGAGGTGTGGCCTGTGAACTGCAAAATCCCAGGACACATGTGCAGAACAGTTCCCCAAGTCCTGCATATGGACCTCTTGCAACAATTCCAGCAGGTTTTTGATAGGATGGTCCAGACCTGAGGAGTGGGTGATATAAAAAGGGAAGCTGCCACTGAGCTCTCGGCCACTGTGCTCTCTCTCACATGGTGGTCCACCCTCAGGCTGGGTGGACTTCTTTCCCTACATTTATGTGGCCCTAATTGGCTCTACAGAGCTATTTCTTTTCCTACCTTTAGTAAAGGTAAAACCTTGCTACCGTTTGCACTTGTCTTGACCTATTTTTTGCTCAGGACCGAAAGAACCTAGAAACCA